ACCTGGTCATAACACAAAAGATTGATTGGGGCTTCCATCCTATAGGGAGGGAAGACAGCACTTTAAGATGTATGGCCTCCCAATAGATTTTTCATGAGAAAAGCCAAAAATGCTTCTTCAAGATTCATGCAGGCATATGTGGTCAGTGCCCAAGTCTGTAAATAACATACACATTATTTAAAGCTTATATTCTGACCCTTTGAGTCTGCAGTATCCTTATTACAGCCAATACTGTGTTAGAAGGATGAACTATGCTTTTAAAAAATTAGATTGAAATCTTTTAGGGAAAAAAGCACTGCCCCCTTCCCTATATTCTTCCATTTGCTTATCTCTTCGCCCCACTCTCCACCCAGTTCAGGAAAGTTTCTCTTAAATCAGCCTGATACTTTCAAGACTAGCATGGCTGTTGACAGTTTTATGCAACTAATAAAGAAGATTAAAAAATAAACAAACTCTGCAACTTTCCGTATTCTGAAGTCCAATGCAGAGGAAAAAAAAAACCCTCTTGTGTGGGAAATGTAAAATGCCGCCTTGTTGGAGGGTGCTGGAAATATGATAGGAAAAAAATGACTTCCATATATCTAAATGACATTTGAAAGAACAAAAATCAAGGGCTGTTAATGTAGCTAGATGTTGGGATTCAGGTAATATGTCCTGTAATTCATTCTGACTGACAGTTGTGAGGAGAAATCAGAGTACGGCTGACCAAAATACCATCCCTTGAAAAAAAAAATCAGCAATGGGACTTCAAAACTGATTCCTCACATATCAACCTGATCTCCCCGAAGAGACTCCTTTCCAGCTAAATGCTGAATTGAATTCCGTACATCACATTTCTTGGTAGAGATTTAGTGCTTTAATTATATTTTTTATGTGTCACAGAACTGTAAATATAAATTATCCTTTTGTTTTCTCTATCTTTAAGGAAGAGCTTAGAAAAATAATAATAATTAAAGGGGTATGTGATTCTTCTTTAAGTCTTCTCATTACTCATGTGGAGGATACAATGCAAACTGTATTTGTGGCTGCAGAACATTCTGGCCATACCTCCAGGACATCTTAGCAATGACTGGCAAGTCTAAAAGTCATTTGATCAGCTATTTGTTTTGCTTACAGAGATGATGATTGTTTTGATATTTTTCTGTTTCTTCCTGAAATGCTTTGAACTGAGCATTCATTTCTGTATCACACAGATAGATGTTGCTCAGCTGCAGCATGGGTTGAAGGAAAATCACTGGGAATATTTTTTTAATTTCTAAAATATTTCAGTTGGAACATTGTGGCTCAGACTCCAAAAACCTTTTTGACCCAAATGTTGAAATCAATAATATAGGATAATATAGGCAGAGTTAATAATCTAACAGAACTATCTGGACATGTCTTTGCATATTAATACCTCATGGAGTGGAGTGAGATATTTTTAAATCCATTGACCATTTTAAAGAATCCTCCAATTATATCATGTCAACAGTTGTTTCTCCTACCTATATACAGAGCTACTGGTAATGATGAAGCTTGCCAGAAAGCTGTGCTACCAAAAGACCAACATCCCAGCTTGCATCTGGCTTTGTACAACATGCCAACAATGCTTAATGTAATGGGTCACATCTGTCAAGTAGGATTACAAATTGTACCTGTAATGCCCTGTAATTAGTAATCCTCAAATGGCTCCAGCTGCTATTTCCCTGAACATTTGCCTTGGTAACATCTCATAGGAAATATGACTTAGAATGAAGAGTATTTAGGTCCAAAGGACACTGTAGTGAAATAGGAACATTTTCTTCTAGAAAAAATCCTTTTTTTTTCTGTCACTCTCACCAAGTTTACTAGAAGGTCTTTCATCCAGAGACCAGTATGGGATATGCTTCAGCTTGCTGAGGAGAGATTTGGCTGTTGACTTTGTTTCAGAGCAAAATTCTCCCACGAATCATGAGAAAAGTAAATATGACTGTTTTCTGCGTGTTAGGGTGATTTGAGAATGAATGCGAGTCTGTAACTGGAGACTTCCCACTGAGAAGTTGACCTTTTGCTTGTAAAGGAGATTTGCTATTTGGTTGGCTCATGGGTACATCTGCAAATGCTGGCATGCTGGGTTGTGTTTGCAGATCAGAATCCATTACTTGCTGAGGCCTAAGATGCAATATGGAAAATGTAGGTTTAAAAAATTATTTCACTAGTTTGACTTTCAGTACACTCTTTTCTGAATTTATTCGAGCGAGTTTCCAGTGAAAATTCACCATCTCATAAGTGACTATCTAATAAAAATGAACTAAAACTAGACCCTTAACTTATACCATTCAATAAAAATTTGCTAGGAGGATTAAAATTAAAATATGAAAATGAAACTATAAAATGATGAAAAGAAAATATAGGTATTTATTTTATTTATATGCTCTTATAGTAGCAACATATTTGTAAGCATAACTGCAAAGGTATAAATCAGGGAGGAAAAGATTGAGTTGATGCTGCAGAAAGAAACAAACATATTAAACACTTTTTGTATGTTAAAAATCCATGATAAATAAAAATGAAAGGAAAATAGCAAATGAGAAAATGTTTGCAGCAGATATTAAGTATAATTGGCCTACTTAAACAGTTCTTACAAGTTGATTTTAAAAAGATGGAAACTCGAATAGGAAAATGGACAAAGAACATAAATATGTAATTCACAAAGGAAGAAACAAAAATGGCCAATAAATAAATGAAGAAATATTTATTTTCATTAGCAATCAAACAAATGCAAACTAAATCCATCCATCACATTGGCAAATTTACAAAAGATTGATAATAAACTGTGTTAACAAAGGTTTGAGGAAACAGAACTTTCATATACTGGAGTCAGAATGCAAATAGGTAAATCTCTTTATGGAGTAACATGAAAATATGTATCTACACCTACCAAAATACGCAATTCTACGTGTAGGAAGTTACCTTCAGGAAATAATTAGAAATGTGTGGAAAGCAGTGGTCATAAAAATGTTCATTGTACCACTGTTTTTAATGGTTTAGAAAATTATAAGAAAAAGACAGTAATAGATTGGTTAAATAAAGTATCTATACTTGTAGATTGAAAGATTATGGAGTCTTGTAAAATCATGTTGTAATAGAATATTTTTGACCTGAAAAAGCAACCACAATCTGTGCTGTGTTTTAAAAAATGGTAACACCATGCACAGTGGTTCATACCTGTAATCCCAGCACTTTGGGAGGCCAAGGTAGGAGAACTGCTTGAGCTCAGGCATTCCAGGGCAGCTTGGGCAACAAAATGAGGCCCTGTCTCTACAAAGAATAAAAAATTAGCCAGTTGTGCTGGTGCATGCCTGTCGTCCCAGCTACTTGGGAGGCTGAGGTGGGAGGATCACTGGAGCCAGTAAGGTTGAGGCTGCAGTGAGCTGTCATCATGCTACTGCACTCCAGCCTGGGCAACAGAGCAAGACTGTTTCTAAAAAATAAATAAATAAATAAAACTAAAAAAAGCAATTTACAAAATGGTAAATAGAATAAGATACTGTATTTTATACACATACACACACACTAAGAAAGAGAGAGTGATTGAGACACAGACATGGACAATTATAGACAAAGATGTAGAGAAGACTAGAAGTAAATATTTCAAAATAGTGTCTTGGGGTGAGAGATAACAGGTATGTGACTTTTTTTTCTTTTCCCTTGAGATGTATTACTTTTGAGATTGGGAAATAGAAACAATAACAATTACCTATTAAAAAGACACATCAGGCTGGGCACGGTGGCTCACGCCTATAATCCCAGCACTTTGAGAGGCTGAGGCAGGTGGATCACTTGAGGTCAAGAGTTTGAGACCAGCTTGACCAACATGGTGAAACCCCCTCTCTACTAAAAATACAAAAATTAGCTGGGCATGGTGGCACGTGCCTGTAATCCCAGCTACTCAGGAGGCTGAGGTGGGAGGATCACTTGAACCCAGGAGGTGGAGGTTTCAGTGAGCCAAGATCGTGCCATTGCATTCCAACCTGGGTGACAGAGTGGGGCTCCATCTCAAAAAAAGAAGACACATCAGCCCAGTTAGGGATAAGTATTGGCACTGATGGCCTTACCTTTGGAGCCTCACTGCCAACTTTTTTCGTTCTTCTTTCCTTTTCTTTCTTTATTTAGATAGAGCCTTGCTCTGTTGCCAGGCTGGAGTGCAATGGCACGATCTTAGCTCACTGCAACCTCCGCCTCTGGGTTCAAGCGATTCTCATGCCTCAGCCTCCCGAGTAGCTGGGATTACAGGCATGCGCCACCACGCCCAGCTATTTTTTTTGTATTTTTAGTAGAGACGGGGTTTCACCATGTTGGCCAGGATGGTCTCCATCTCCTGACCTCATGATCCGCCTGCCTCGGCCTCCCAAAGTGCTGGGATTACAGGCATGAGCCACCGCGCCCAGCCTCCTTTCTTTAAGTCATCATGTCCTACAGACTTCCAGAGTCCTTAGTGTTTTCATTCACTCATCCATTCATTCCTCCATTCAGCAAACATTTCTTGCTTTATACCATGTGCCAGGCTGAGTATTTGTCCCCGGCCAATGCTCCATTCTGTAAACATTTCCTAGTTGTTTCTTGTCTATACTTATTTATCAGTCTGGGGGTCTTTCCCTCAGACCCTGTTAATTGACTAGTACATTTTTCTAACAAGTTCTCTCTGTGTTAAGTAGATGATCTTAGTATGCTACTTGAACTTTAAGGGGGACCTTAACTGTCTTAACTTAAAATAGTAAGTGTGTGAAAATTGTAGGCAACTTTATGTAGATATATGCCTGCCAGATAATATCACTCTTTCCTTCTCACACATATTCTAACTGGGCAGCATGCCTCCAACTGTGTTCCACCCTACAAGGCCTGGGCTCCCCATGTTAAGATTAGTTCTCTAATTTGGCAGCTTAAAACAACACAAATGTATTATTTTACAGTTCTGGAGGTTAGAGTTCCAGAATGAATTTCACTGGGCTAAAATCAAGGTGCGGGTAGGGCTGGGTTTTTTGTTGTTGTTGTTGTTGTTGTTGGGTTTTTTTGTTTTGTTTTGTTTTGTTTTTTTGAGGCTTTAGAAGATAATCCACTTATTTGCCTCTTTCAGCTTCTGGAGGACCCTTCATCGCTTGGCTTATGGCCCTCTTCATCCATCTTCAAAGCCAGGAACATTGCATTTACCTGAACATTCTTCTATAGTCTCATCTCCCTCTGGCCATAGCCGAGAAATGTTCTTCACTTTGAAGAAACCATATGGGTTGAATTGTGGCCCCTCAAAAGGTATGTCCACATCCTAATCCCCAGGCCTTATGAGTGTTACATTGCTTGGAAAAAGGTTCTTTGCAGATGTAATTATACATATTGAGGTGAGAAGATTATCTCAGATTATCGGGCTGGACTCTATATCCAACGAAAAGTGTCTTTATAAAAGAAAAGCCGATAGAGTTTTGAGATGGGAGAGGAAAAGACGCAGAGAAGAGGAGGCAATGTGATCATAGAGGCAGAGATTGGAGTAATGCAGCTACAAATCAAGGGACACCCACAGCCACCAGAAGCTGGAAAAGGCAAGGACAGAGGTCCCCGGGAGCCTCCAGAGGAAGTGCAGCCCTGCTGACACCTTGATTACAGACTTGTAGCCACCACAAACACAGCCTCAGGCTGTCTTTCATATTTTGCTTCCATCCTTACTTAATTATCTTGGATCTGTATCCTGGATGTCAATGTGGAATAATAGAAAGCACACACACGTGGAGTCAGGCAGACTTCTGCTTAATCTCTCGCTCTTTATTTATTCCCTGTGTATTCCTGGGCAGTTAATTTAACCTCTATGAGCTTATTTTCTCATCTTTAAGATGTGGGTAATCATATGCGCTCCATAGAGTCATTGTGAGGATTAAACTAGATAACATATATAACATGCCTGGTACATAGGAGGCATTTGATGAATGTTGCCTTCCTTTTCCTATCACCCTATAATCTGTGAACCAGTAGTACTCTATAGTCTTGAAGTAGATGGTCTGGTAGAGCAGATATTTTTGTATAGGGACTTTCTAATTTTCCTTCAAATCTCACTGTGTAGGTAGCTTTCTTTTGTTTTTTAAATTTCCCTTTATCTATATGAAGGCATGGGTGACACATAAAAATTGTATATAACCACTGTGTAGATAACTTTCTAACCTGATTATACATAAGATTTCCCCTGATGACATTGCATTTTATTTTGAACTATGGTTATACCTACACAACATTAAAGTTTCTGGTTGAAAAGGGGAAAGTCCTACCAAAATGGCTGTTTAGGAAAACACACTATAATAACAAATAAACAAATATTTGTACATACTATGTGTTAAGTGTTGTAGACATTAGGGAATGAGATTAACATAGTACTTATGCTTATGGAGTGAGGTACACTGACCAGTAACTAAACAACTCTAGCACAGTGGTCTCTTAGTATCTATGGGGTATTGACTCCAGGACCCTTGTGGATACCAAAATCCAAGGATGCTCAAGCTCCTGATACAAAATGATGCAGCATTTGCATATAACCTATGTACATCCTCCAGTATACTTTAAATCATTTTTAGATTACTTATACCAAATGCAATGTAAGTCATCTCTAGATTACTTATAATATACCTAATGCAACTTAATTTGAAGGCTCATTTCCATCAGGCTTCAAATGTACTGTAATCATTTGTATTATTTTAAAAAGTCAATTTTCCTGTCTCCTGTTACAGCAAAAACTTGTTAAAAGAATTGTCTCTACTTACTGTCACTATTGTCTCTTCTCTTATTGTTTCTTGAATCCACTCCAGTCACACTTACACCCCTACCACTTCACTGAAATGAAGCAAGGTAAAAACTGTATAAATAGTCATTATACTCATTGTTTAAGGAATAATGACAAGAAAAAAAAGTCTGTACATGTGCAGTACAGATACGACTATCATAGACCTAACTACATTTTCAATTTGTGGTTGGTTGAATCCATGGATACAGAGGGTACAGTGTGATTGGTGCCATGGTGTGCACAAACACAAGGGTGCTTAACAGGAAATAAGGACTCCCTGGAGTAAGTAAAGTCTAAGTCGAGATTTAAATGGTGAATGGAAGTTAGCTATGTAGAGTCCCTCTTACCTTCCACAAATAAAGAAAGGGAGAAAAATATAAAGGAAAAATTGTTTTAACAAATTTAATTAGTATAAACATTAAGTTTAAAATTCTGGGTATCTAAACAGAGCCGTTCTTGTTTTTGTTTCCATTGAAAAAATGTTTGGATATAGTTGCACTACTGAGATGGGAATGAATGGCCCATTGATAAAATTCTTTCAAGTCACTTGGAGGAAAAGAGGGCTTTTATTACATTTTGTACAAATGTCCCCAGCCAGCAGGTAGGGCCATTAGTCAAGATGTAAATATTGTATCACAAATGTTCCTGAATACAAACCCCTGATTGAGGAAAGAGGGTAGATTTGGACCAAGTTGTGTTCATGGTAGGATGTTAGGTAGGGAATGGTGCCAAATAGAAGATGTGGTTGCTGGTTTCTAGGAATAATAATAATCCCAAAAATATGTTGTGCATTAATTTATGTGCCAACTACTGTTCTAAGCACTTTTTGTGTATTAACTAATTTAATTCTTCCAATGATTCTGTGAGGTAGGTAATACTACTATTCTTACTTTACAGATAGTAAAGACAGACTTACAGACAGACTTTACTACAGTCAGCAAGTGATAGAGCTGGGATCCAAGTCAAGACAAGTTGACTTGAAAACCTGTGCTGTTAACTCCTACAGTCAGTACTTTCCCCCTTGGGGAAATAAGGGCTTTGTGGAAATGTAGACACAGAAATGACATATGAGAAGAGAAAACAGAAGCAAATATCAGCATGACTATATGGCCATATATCCATTAAGTGCCAAGAGATAGACTGAGTGATTAGAGTTACTGAACCTGGGGTTGGGATGGGGTGGGGTTTACTTCGTCAGGAAGGTCTACAGAAAAATAAATCTTAGGCTGGGTGCGGTGGCTCACGCCTGTAAGCCCAGCACTTTGGGAAGCCAAGGAGGGCAGATTACCTGAAGTTGGGAGTTCGAGACCAGCCTGACCAACATGGAGAAACCCCGCCTCTACTGAAAATACAAAATTAGCCAGGCATGGTGGTGTATGCCTGTAATACCAGCTACTCTGGAGGCTGAGGCAGGAGAATCACTTGCACCCAGAAGGTGAAGGTTGCGGTAAGCCGAGATTGTGCCATTGCACTCCAGCCTGGCCAACAAGAGCAATACCCCATCTCAAAAAATAAATAAATCTTAATCCGTGTTTTGTTAAGAGAGGAATGTAATTATAACTACTACTAGTTAACATTTTTTGAGTCCCTACTATGTGCCAATAAATGTTTTAGATAATATCTAACTCAATAGTCAAAACAACTTGAGGCAGGTACTATTATATTTCTATTTTTAGATGCGGAAACTAAGACACAGAGAAGATAATTTTCCCAAAGTGTCTGAGCTCAAAAGGGGTGGAGCCAGGTTTTGAACCAAGGCAGCCTGACTCTTCCTTAAATATATTGACTTGCTCCGGTAATTCTTCCCTCTCTCTCGTGTCAACAATTTTTCTGTCTTCATGGAATCATTCCTATCCTCCTTCAAATGTGCTGTAATCATTTGTATTATTTTAAAAAGTCAATTTTCCTGTCTCTCTTTACAGCAAAAACTCATTAAAAGAATTATCTCTACTTATTATCTTGCTTCCCATTGTTTCTTGAATCCACTCCAGTCAGACTCACACTCCTACCACTTCGTTGAAACTGCTCTTGTCAAGGTCACCAGTGACCTCACCATAGCTAAATGTCACGGTCAATTCTCAGCTCTCATCTTACTTGAACTTTTAGCACTATTTCCTATAACAGATCCTTCCTTTGTCTTCCAGGACATTATCCCTGCCTTTTTTGTTTTTTTGTTTTTCCTATTTCCCTAGCTGCTCCAGTTTCCTTTTGTGAGTTCTTCATATTTCCAACTTCTTAATGTCAGAGTCCTAGACTGCTTCTCACTTCTATTCATAATCACTCCCTCAGTGATATCATTCTGTCTTGTGACGTTAAATACCACCTACGTGCTGTTGAATTCCCAAATTTATAAATGCAGTCCAGATCTCTCTTCCAAACTCCAGATTTGTATATCCAACTGACTACTTGTCATTCCATTTGGATGTCTAATAGGAATCTGAAATTTAATATGTCCAAAACCAAACTGCTGATATTTTCCCCACAATCTGATCTTTTCATTGTCTGGCTCATTTCAATTAATGGCCATGCAATATTCCAGCTGCTTAGGTCAAAAACTTTGGCATCACCTTTGACTCTTCCCTTTTTCTCATTCCCTCACCTCAGTCTAAATTCAAACTTAATGATTTCATCTTCAGAATATATTTGGACTCTAACCACTTTTTACCAACTTTACTGCAATCATTGTGGCATGCTTGGATTATTGCAACAGCCTCTTAATGGGTCTCCCTGATTTCACCCTTAACCTTCTAACCCACAGCAGCCTGAGTGATCTTGTTAAAGCCTAAGTCAGAGCATGCCACCTTTCTTATCATAATTCTGCAATGGCTCCTCATCTCATTTGAAGCAAAAGCTAATGTCTATACGATGGCCTATGGCCCTACCCCAGTGGTTTTTAATCATTACTATATATTAGAATCACCTGGAGAACTTTTAAAAAATAGTCTGGTCCTCACTCCCAAATAAAATGAAGCCATATCTCCAGGAGTGATAATATGTGGTATGGCCCAGATATCTGCAGTTTTTCATAGTTCCTCAGGTAATTCTGAGAATCAGAAAGGGTTGAGAGTTCCTGACTTCATTATGCCTTGATCTTCTACTACTCACTATCCCTGGCTTATTTCTATTCCAATCACATTGGCCTGCTTGCTGGAGGATGCCAGGCATGCTCTTCCCTCAGAGTCTTGGCACTAGCTGCTCCCTCTGCCTAGTATGTCCATCCCCAGTTCCCATGATGGCTCACTCCCTCACCTTCTTCAAGTCTTTGCACAAAAGTGGCTTCTCTATGAAGCCTTTCCCAGTTCCCATTTCAAAGTACATTAATCTTTTCTGCTTTATGTTCATCTATAGCCTTATCATCCTTATCATCTTAAATATTATGGTTTTACTTCTTTTAGTGCGTATCTCCCTTAGCTAGAATGTAAGCGAGCCCTCTGTGGGCAGGGATTGATCTGTTTCATTTACTGCCATATCTCCAGTGCCTGGTGCATAG